CAGCCCCTGCACAGTCCTAACCCTAACATGTTTTGTTTTTTTTTATCCTGGATTCCACATTCCCTGTGACAAATGCAGGGCAAGAGGCTGGCACTGCCTTAAAAATGAGCACATTGAGTGCAAAGACACATGACTGCAGCCCTCTGTGGTTCTTCTCAATCTGTCCAAGGGGTCTCAGAATGTCAGTTAACTGAAAAGAATCATCTCCTGCTAATCATAGGAAGTCCAGCTGCGGCTGAAGCTTTAGCTTACTTTCAATGATGTTTTACAATTAGGATGTTTTTAAAAGTTATAAAGGTGTTAAGTCTAGCTTCGTGGTATAGTGATGGTGACTGTAATTCTTGCATTAAGGAAAAATTGTCATTTGAGTTCAAGATTTTTAATGTGTATCTGTTTTAAAACAAGCAGCCAAGAGGCAATGAGTGACACTTGGCCTCAAGATTTCAAGGGATCTTTTCAAAACGCAAATGAAAACTAAAGTATAAAACACCTGATTACTGTCACTTTGTAGCTTTTGGTTCCTTAACCCCCTGCTGATGCTAACTGCCCTGGAATGTTAACACCTGGTTAATGTATCTTTTTGTCACTTTGTAGTCTTTTGCCTTTATAAACCCGGCCTGCTTTCAACTCGGGGCTCTCTGTTCCTGCCTGTTCAGTGAGCCCCATGCATGCTTGGTGAATAAATCCCCTTGCTCTTTGCATGAGAGAACGACTCTTGGAGTCTTCCTTGTGTGCGGCGAGGTTCTCGACCCTTACAACATGTGGCTCATGCCACATATCTTCTCTAAATTTGACTGATAAAAGTCTCCCAAGTAAATTATAAATTTGACAGTCCTGTTTGTATTTGCCTAGTCCAGGGGTCCTTCTTTAGTCCACACGTTCCAGTAAGTCCATAATTTCTTTTCATACTGAACTAACATCAGATACCATCAGCTTTTGTTCTGCCTCTGACAGAACAAGTTTGAACCTTCTTCAAGATGACTGAGGTTTCTGGGTTTGAACCTAGATCTTCTGTCTTCCTGGTGCCTTTTATTCCTGGAGCAACCAGAACTTCTCCAACTGTGACTCATATTTCACCATTCCTAGGGACATCCTATCCTGTTCATCCACATCTGACACACTCGAGTTGATCAAACTAAACTCCTAAAATGTGGTACCCAGCACTGAACTTAATATTCCAGATGTGGTTGGAGATTGGAGAACAGCTGTCCCCACGAACCACACCTTAGCTCTTCCTTTATTTCAAAACCATGGTTTAATCTTCCACAGACTTTTCTTCTTCAGGCAAAAAAAAAAAAAAAGGCAGAAAAAAACCCAATTTCCATTGTCATTTCCTAAAGATTTATTTTCATTATTTGACTAAGGTCTATGGCTATTTCCTAATTCTCTTTTTCTAATGGATTTCTAAATTTCATAAAGGGAACACATCATGATTAAATAACATTTTGTAAAAGCTGATTTAAAATGGTGAGCCCTAATTTAAATACTAATCTCTCTTGTTTTTCCTTCATCAGCTATAACCTTAGTCAAAGGGCCTATAACCTTAGTCAAAGGACTGGGGGAATACTTTTTTTTTTTTGTCGGTTGTGGGATTTGAACTCTGGGCCTGGGTGCTGTCCCTGTTCTCTGCAGCTCCAGGTGAGCGCTCTATCACTTGAGCCACAGCACCACTTCTGGTTTTCTAGTTATTTATTAGAGAAAAGAGTCTCACGGACTTTCCTGCCTGGGCTGGCTTTGAACCTAGATCCTTAGATCTCAGCCTCCTGAGTAGCTAAAATTATAGGCATGAGCCACCAGCGCCTGGCTGGGGGAACATATTTAATATGTGTCATGTTTGTTGCATGCTAATATGGTTGTGTGCTATTTAGTATTTATTTGGGCTTTGAACTCAGAGACTCATGGTTGCTAGGCAAACGCTCTATGGTTTGAGCTACACCTCTAGCCCCAGCAATGGGGTTTATTAGTTAGTTTTAGAAAAAGTTTGTGCCATGTGTGTTTCTCAAGGTGAATAAATGAAGTTGAACCCTGAGATTAATAATGTAAAGTTTTATTAGTTTTTTGTTTATGTATTTTTTGTTTGGCTTTGTGCTAGTACTGGAGCCTGAACTTGGGACCTTGCTAGGATTACAGGTATGAGCCACCAGTGCCCAGCTGAAAGATAATTTTTGAAAGTTTTATCCTGATTATATAGATTGTTTTTCACTTGATGTTTTATATCTAGTAGACATAAAAGTTAACTAGTTTTTGTTTAAAAGAGCTTTGATATGTTTAGTTAAGTTAGATTGTACAGACAATTTTCAGTTTTATAGGTCTAAAATAGAATAGAAAGGTTTAAAATGATCTTTTGTTAACACCACAGTAAAGATAAGGCCATAGTGAAAGTTTAACAGTTTGTTATTGAGGGCTGAGGATTTAGCACAGTGATAGAATAAAAATTCTGGGTTTGATTCTCTAGATCTTCAAAAAAGAAATGAAAGTTTATACTTTAATTATTTTAAATAAAAATCATAACTTTTATTGTTTGTGGGTAGTAAAATTGACATAGGATTAACTTCTGGCTTAAGGTTATGGAAGGTGAGCAGTGTTGCTACAAATCTATTTACCTATATATAGGTATCTGAACATTCTATATCAAGTACTCTTTACAATAAAGCAAGTAAGTTATTAATGAATATACTCTTCTATTTTCTACCAAGTGTATATATTTGTCTGATGAAGGGGAGAAAAGTGGAGGAGAGAGGGAGGGAAGGAAGAAGAGGGAGAGGCATAACATTATTAGAATTTACAGTTCAGGCATGGCAACATGTTATTTATTTTCTTTCAGTCCTGAGAAGTTAGATGTTGAAACAGTTATGAGTATTGATCATCTGAAGCAGAAAATTCCTCCAGCATTGTTTTATAAGGAAACCTACTTAGGTCCAAATGAAGGTAATTTAATGTTTTAAAAAATTTTATCGGGTGGGGGAGGGGAGAGGAGGGCGAAGGGGGGGAAGATGGGAAGGGATGGGAGGGGAAACAAAGGAGGAGGCAACAATGCTTGATAAGAAATGTACTCATTATCTTGCCCATGTAATTGTAACCCCTCTGTACGGTATTTTCACAATAAAAAAATTATCAGAAGAACTTGATTTGGTTATTTACCATGTTATTTTTTTCTCACAGGTTTGAAGAATGGGATGTATTGTAGCCTTTATGAAGTTGTAGAAAAGCCAAGAATTGGAAATAACTTGGAAAGTTTACTGCAAAAACTGGAGAAAGAAAAACTTGTGAGTGATAGCTGTTTGAATATTCTTTTCTCTTTCTCAAAATTATCTGTGATCATATTGAAACTGGGTTTTTAGACCTCAGGCCCAAAGTCCAGAAGTCCCAGATTTGGTCTGGCCATTTGCCTCCACATGCCAAAGAAAAATGGCAAAGGACAGAGATAGGAGGTTTATTATATTGCAGCCCTGGGAAGATGACACTTCCATACACCTTTAGTCTCTTCAGAGGTAGAGAGACATTGGTTTCACTTTAAATAGGGTGATGGGAAAAAGGTATTCACGTAGGTAAAAAGTCCCAAGTCACAGGTATTGATTGCCTTGTTGACCATTATTAGCTCAGTCTTCATCCCTAGAGGAATTCCAGAAAAGTTACTGCTTTATCGCTGGAACAAGATGGGCTCCTGAGGATTTTAACTGTGTCCATTAATATTATGAAAAGAAGACACTACTTGTTTGAGGGGCAGTTTCCGTTCCACACAGATGATTATCAGAATCTGCTTTTCTACTGCAAAGAGGTGATTACAGAGGAACTGCACCAGATGAAAGGGCATAGATTCAGAGTTGAACTTTTACTTCATTGACAGGACCCACCTACTCTTTAAGGGGATCTGAAAAGGCAGAAGTTTGTGGGACCTTAGAAAAACAGAGGAGAGAACAAACTGGAGAGAGAAACCTTTAGATAAAAGGAAAACGAATATAAAAAAGGAGCAATTATAAGCTACTGACCAGCTCAGAATCATCACCTGTTTTTCTATACATCTGGAGAGAAGAGTTCTTCATAAGGAAAAGCAAGTTACTCAAAGGAAAAAGAAAAGGTGGTAGTTATGAACAGGCATACTATAACAGGAGCATGAGTGATCAATAAATATTAGATGTGGGAGTTGTACAAATTTAACTCAACAACAAAAAAGAGACATCTTAGGGTGCTGAAGATTTTTATGGGGGGGAATATCACATGTGGAGAATTGTTCTTCCTACAGTGAGTGTATATGACTCCTGGAGAATAATTTACTAGAACCAACATGTATAGACACATACACAGGTACACACATATACATATACGCCACAGAAACTCTTTACTCATGTACAGGTAGCATGCACAAGAGCATTTCAAGTATCATCCATCTACCTATGGTGAGAAATAATGTGAAACTTCAGCAGAACAAAGCCAATAAAGAAATGGTGATGTGCTCATTCAATGGAATACTATGTACAGCCTCTTCAGGGAAACAATTCACTAGAGCTACAAATCACAATGTGCTAGATTCATACGTGTACATCATACATGCTTGCATATCATCATACATGTGAATAATACATGTACATCATAATGCACATGAGTCACTAGAGCTACAAATCATAATGGAAAACTTTCCAAAAAAAATAAAACAACCCATAATGTGAGGGCAAAAATAAAGCATGAAAGAATACAGGGAACTCTTATTTCCAGAATGCTTGAAAATATTCAGGAGGAAAAAATTTCATTTATTATTAAGGAGAAATTTAAACTTGTGCTATACATGTACACTCTAAAATTCTAGTTTGAACATTCTAGATAGCACTTCAGTATTTTTTTAGAAACTATTGCCCATTAATACCACCCCCAAACTGGTACAATTGGGATTTAGGTGAAATTCGGTAGGAATGAGCACCCAGGTTTAACATAGTCCTTCCAATAGAAACACAGTATGAGCCCTATTGGTGATTGACATTTTGTAGCAGCCATATTTTTTTAAAAAAGAGGGAACAAGTGAAATTAAATTTAATAATGTACTCCATATGTAAATAAATATATTCAAAATATTCAGCCTGTACTTGATAATATTGAGATATTTTAAATAGTTTATTTAAAATAAAGTCATGGGCTGGGAAAGTAGCTTAGTGGTAGAGTGCTTGCCTGGCATGCATGAAATCCTGGGTTTGATTCCTCAGCATCACATAAACAGAAAAAAACAGAAGTGGTGCTGGGGTTCAATGGTAGAGTGCTAGCCTTGAGCAAAAGAAGCTCAGGGACAGTGCCCAGGCCCTGAGTTCAAGCCCCAGGACTGGCAAAATAATAATAATAACAACAATAATAACAATAATAATAAATAGTAATGGTAATAAAAATAGTCATTTTGGCGAATAGCATATATAATAGTAACAACACATAAGATATAAGCAGAAGAGACTAAGAGTAACCCCATTCCAAGAGAACAGTAAAATGAATAGAATGAAACTAGATTTGAATGCCAGTGATGTCAAGCCTTAGTGGCTCATGTCCATAATTCTAGCTACTCAGAAGGCTGAGATCTGAGGATCCTAGTTGAAAGCCAGCCCAGGCAGGAAAGTCCATGAGACTCTTATCTTTAACCATCAAAAAGTTGTGGCTCAAGTGGTAGAGCACCAGCCTTGAGGGAAAAGGTAAGGTACAATGCCTAGTCCACAAGCTCAAGCCTCAATGCCATTTCTCTCTCTCTCTCTTTCTCTCTTTCTCTCTCTCTCTCTCTCTCTCTCTCTCTCACACACACACACACACACACATAAACAGATGGAAAATTTTACTTTATACCAAGTGCTTTTATGTGGCAGAGGTGGGGCAGCATAGTGAGCAGCATCAGTACTAGGGTTTAATCTCTGAACCTCACATTTAGTTAACTTGCTTGTTTGCCTGGTGCTTTACCAGTTGAGCCATGCCTATAGATAAGAATTTTGCTGGTTAAGTGGAGTTGGAGTCTAACAAACTTTTCTGCACAGGCTGGCTTTGGATTGTGATCCTTCATACCTCAGCCTCATGAGTAGCTAGCATTGTAGGCATCAGTCACCAGCACCCAGTTTATCTTAAGTCTAACATCTAACGTGCATTTTTTCAATTACATCCCACCTCCACTTGGATGCTCAATTGTCATTAGAAATATTTAATCTATATTTAGATTTTTATAAAATTTATTGTTGTAAACATAGATTCACATCACAAACGAGTTGAAGAAGACACTGTCAAAGAAGTGTGTGTGTGTGTGTGTGTGTGTGTGTGTGTGTGTGTGTGTGTGTGTGTGTGTATGCATGCTAGTATTGGAGCTTGAACTCAGGGCCTGGGCTTTTTCCACTCTAAAGTTGGTGCTTTACCACTTGAAGGATACCTCCATTTCCAGCTTTTTGGTGGTTAATCAAAGAGAAAAGTTTTATGGACATCTCTGCTGGCTTCAAACCATGATCCATAGCACTCAGACTCCTGAATAGCTAGGATTATAGGCATCAGCCACTGGTGCCCAGCTAACCATTAAGATCTACACAGCCTATGGCCCCAAAAGCCTTCTGTTGGTATGGAGCTCTGTTCTAATGACTGACACCCACCTCTGGATACAACACAGACAGGAATCTGGAGGGTACCACTCATCCCCAGGGACACAGGCTGTCCTTCCCTACCCAGAGACTTCTCTGTCTGGGTCTCATACTCAATCTTCACAGCCTGAGGGAAGGACAACCAACCATCTCAATCTATACCTTCCCTTGGAGAACAAGGAAAGAAATATGACTCTGTAATTGGAAAGGACCTTGGGCAGGAAGAAGTACCTCTGATCCTCACTTCACATCTGCCTGAGATCTACCAAAGTTTTGTGGATAAGGGAAAAGAGCCCAGAAGTGGGCTTCATAAGAGACAGGGGTTTTATTGTGATTCATGTACACGCTATCTCTGTGACCTCAGGCAGATCATGAGGGCTTTCTTTATAGCTCAGTTTCTGTATTTGGAGGATGAATGAGATAGTCGCTTTCTATCCTTTTATTTCAAACCTCCATGATTCCATGGCTTACAGAAAAGTCATAAGCTGTGTTCTATTCTTGCATCTTTTTGCAAACTGGAGCACTTTTTTTTTTGCTTTGTTTTGCAGCACAAGGCTTCTCACTTGCTTTCCTTGCTTACACTTCAACCACACCTCTAGCTCAGCATTTTACTGATTATTTTGGTGATGGAGTCCCTCAGACTTTAATGCCCATGTTAGCTTCAAATCTTGATCCTCTGGATATTAGCCTCTTAAGTAGCTAGGATTACATGTGTTAGCCACTGGCACCTGGAATGGGCAGGTTTTTATAACATTTAGTACCTCAGTTTCCCTATGTGTAAAAACTGAGTTAATTATACTTGCTTCACAGTAATTTGAGACCCTAATTGATGAAAGGGATGACATAAACATTAGCTATTATCCAAGTCATAAAGGCAATTTTAGTCATTTAACCTTCATCATCTTGTCTGATATTGGAAATACATCCCTAGTGCTTTTTACTGTAGCAGATATTTTTTGTTTGTTTCCTGTATATTGCCCCAAGTCCAGCCTGGTCATTTTGAATTGGTGAGCATCCCTTCCCTTATTCTACTCACAGTGATGGTGAGCTGCAGAGAATCGTGGAACAGTAGTTGCTTGGGCACATAGCATTGCAGAGACCTGACGTCTGGCTCTAACTCTGCTTCCTGACTCAGTCAGATCAGCTGTTTTGTGTCTTGGTCTCCACAGTGAGATCACATCAGTACAATCATATCTCCCAGCACCAGACCACAACTTGAGAAAAGTACCTCAATACTTGAAGCAATGGAGAAGAATGAGACACAAAACAAAATGTAGAGATGACCTGTCCTGAAAACCCAGAAGGGTGCAATTTACAATAGCAAAAATGGTGGTGCTGACAGCAGCATGAAAACTTGGATTCCTGGAGAGTGAGAGAGAAAGAGAAAGAGAGAGACAGAGACAGAGAGAGGAAGGCTTATTCAAGATCTTGTATGCTGTCCCTGAATGTACATGCTCAAGGCTAGTGCTCTACCAATTCAGCCATGACCACTCCATTTCCAGCTTTTAGCTGGTTATTTGGAGATAAGAGTCTTGTGGACTTTCCTGCTTGCTTCAAACCATGATCCTCAGATCTCAGTCTCCTGAATAGCCAGGATTACAAGCATGAGCCCCTGGAATCTGCCTGAAGTGTATTCAGTGTGCTGCAGTGATAATTAGATTTCTGTATATCAGATCTTACTA